TTGTAATATACGTTATTGAAATAATTGACATACTTCCATGATGAGCGTCCCGCGATGTAAATTCTAAAGTACCCTCGTGAGCTCTTCTCTCATCATGTACAAATGGTTTATGTTCACCGGTTCCTGTACGGAAACGATATGCCAGTCCGTAATCCACTAAGTATGCCATTGACTTTTCCTTTCCTATTCCGTTCCCATACGATAACAAGATATTTGGTCCCTTAATATCTGCATGAGCATATCCTTTACTGTGAATATATTCCAATGCATCAAGCTAAAAAAAAAGGAAATTTTATTAAACTGCAATCTTGACTATTAATTACAAAACTCGCAATTCCAAGTGTGAAATTTACCATTTGTACAGCTAACGTATTAACAAGTTTTGTTGGTAATTTCTTTCTATGCGATAGAAATAATTTTCCGATATCCACGCCATATCGAGGTATTACTAGAAACCTGTATCGCTGACCTCCATAAAAATGAGATCCTGATCCTTCGTATGTGGGTACACCAATTATCTTTTTTCCCTGAGATTCACACCAACTTTTGACTGTAAAATATATCAAAACATGAAAAATACAATCATTTGAAGTACACACATAAAATTATAGTTATATATATATGTTAGTTTAATTATGTGTACGTTACTTACTCATGTGCTTCCGTGCTGCTCTTATATAAAAATTCATTTCGACAAATAATGGCCCATTATTATGAGGTTCAATCTTTATGACATACCTTGCATCTTGACCAACAGGTGATGTAATGTCATTAGAGGCTATGGAAGAAAAAGCGAAAGATTAATACATAGCTCTACAAATATAAATTATAGAATATGGATTATTTCAAATGTAAGTGAAAACATATTACAAATATAAGAATATTTACCAAGGTATATGTCTCCAAAACCACCATATCCAATGGTATTCCCTAGTCTCCATTTATTCTGTGTAATATCCGTCAAGATTTCTCCTGCTGGCAGTTGCGCTGGTAATTTACAACCTGCAGCTGCTATTCTCTTCATAGGCACATCTTCTGCTCGTCTTGGCGGCATCCTATCGCTATTAAATCATTCATATATATATTAAAAATTTACTACACTTGACAAAAATATGACTCATCATGTAGAGAGATTCATCCAATATTTGTAAAAAGATTCTTTTTACTATCAAAAGTGTATCATAAGAGATACAACTTTTTTGATACAAATATATGATAGCAATAAATTGCATAAAAAAAGCTCACAATTTTGTACAAACAAGAACATGTCAAGGATATTAATCATTTTATTTTTTCATTTATTTCTTAATAAATATATTGTATACATTTTTTTAGGTGCTTCATTTAATATTAATTATATAAAAATGTCATCATTAAAATAACATTTGTATATCATGTATTATATATTAATTTTGTAGTTGTATAGACAAATTTTTATAATATTAAGGATGCCTACATATACATTTTTAATTAAAAATAAAAAGCAGATGTTTAGTATAAAATTAAAGAATGCAAAGAGATCATATATTTATGTCTTCCGATTTAGGGATAAATTAGATTCTTTAATAAATTACAGATATATAAAGTTATATATACATTTATTTTATTGTTACTCGCATTCATCAATGATTTAATTTCGTCCTCAACAATCTCATTAAATAAGACACATTACGTATATAGCATAGTAAAATATTGCTTTTCTTTATGAATATTATTCATTACTATATACAGAATTGAAATACATAACTCTGTTGTAGGACGTAAATTAAAATATTTGTATATAAAAACTATCATAAATAGACAAGCAGCCTACTGCATGGTTCAAGAATTATAACATCACCCCTATAGCAAATTTAATTACCTGACTACTTTGCATAACACAAAAAACTGTTTTTCAGCACATTAACATCTTTCTAATATGATGCTTGATTGAGCATCAAATTATTAAAAATTGCTTGTAATTTAATTTAATTCGTGATATTATTACAGTAGTTTAATTGCATTTATAAGTCCGGAAAATCAATTCTAAGCTTCGACCGGTATAGACATTTTTAATTCGTATTGATTGTGCACTAAAAGCTAAAGTTATTAAAATTATAAAAATATAAAATATTTAAAGAAAAATAGCCAATATTAATATCATATATATCCATTACATTCTTAAATAGAATATGTATCTGATATCTTCCAGTATTATTCATCAATGAACATTATATTAAGATTTCTACAAATATATGTATGTATGTATGTATATATATATGTATATATATATATATATGTATATATAATGCTCTTTCGAACACACCAATGCAGAGTAGTGCAAGTAACTAAAGATCTGTTTTTTCTAGCTGAACTAGTATACACCAGTAACTAGTATACACTTAAATTGAAACAGATATGTATTTAATATTTGGCAAAAATGAGAAAAAAGTTCTAGTGCAGTCTAGTGCAGGAATAAAAAACAGACTTTAAATTAGCGATAAACACAATTCGCTACTTCCAAAGTCCATTTGCTACGATCTTCTGCAATAACAAACATTTTGTAAGTTACACTAACATACATGATGCAATATTTCTACATATGTACACGGTAAAGGTTCTCGGTAAATTATTAATGATTTATCATTATTATATAATAATGATACATATTTACATGTAATTCACAGTAACCATACAAAGCTACTAAGAAATAATAAAATTTCTTTTAAATGTATCAATTAATTACGTAAAATAACTCGAGTGAATTTCAATAACAAGAGATAAGAGATCATTGTATGTACACGGAAAAATGTTTATTACAAATAAATTTCGATATCAATACTTGATAAGAGCCTCATCGACAACATCGAATTCAATTTCTATCAAACGTGTCAACATGCCGTTCTACGTAACAATAGTATACTTACATGGACGTACGTATTTTTCTAATATCTCTTTTTTTCTAATTTTCTGTATCGGCTTATGTTATTAGTTAACAAGAGGAACTCATATCGCGCATTCGAGCGATCACTCACAGGAAGAACGTCTCGATGACGAGAGACTAGCAGTTATATCTCGCTGAATGCCAAGTGCATTCCGCAAGGTTAGTCGCGAAGGGATTTTAAACGAAAGCCTGGCGTAATACAGCGATATACAAGCGTATGTCGTCGTTCGAGATTGTTCGAAATATCATGCGTCGATGTGCGAGTAACCGGCGCTTTTCCTCAGAAACGAACGTTGCGTATGTAAGATTCGCCACGCACAAAGGAAGGAACGCCTAAACAGTGAAATCGCAGATCGTCCCGATGGTATGTTACAAAGTGCTACCACAGTACGTGCTGCGGTCCCGCAACGTCTAACGTAATGTTGTCGCGTACGTTCGATAGATACGCGAAGCAACGTTTCGCTAACGTCCCGTAGCAGAATGGTGTCAAACAACGCGAGCCTTCGGAAACGCATTCGAAGCCTGCAACAGCTTGCTGAGTCTTGGCCACTCTTGGACGATGAACCGGACGGACATCGACACGGCCGAATCGCGATTCCACCTCGGATACTCCACCGCGCCGAGCTCAACAAATCACATCGCACCGCTTCGAAATACGCTTCTTCGCGGGAGCGCCGATCAGCTGGAATCTGTCTCCAACGACAACGATATTTCTCGCATAGAAGCAGCAAGTATCGCGCGATAAGCGATAATACGACCAAGCGACTCGGTCTTTTTTTTTCCCCGAATGACAGAACGTTACGGAAAGCGATTGGCTAATTGAAATTTCGTACTGTACACGATCTACGGCCAGTAGGAACATCTGTTTTCTAGGGACGGTAGCGTTCTCAGCTGGGGTCTCTAGGAGACTTGAAGGAACACGTTTGCCTATTGGACGCCCATTGGACTTACTACGGATGACATATGTATGTCACACGCGTGTGAACCCTTCATAAAACCGGCATACAACCGGCAACGAGAGAATTGAAACGCATTTTTTTTTATAGGACGGGAAGCCAGTAAAGCATTATAGTGGCATCAAAACAATTATTTGAAGCAAGGAATATGAATTATAAAATTTTACTCGAGGAACAGCTGTAAGATTTTGAAAATAAATCTGTCTCTACTTCTCTCTTTGTCTCGCTCACACACTCTCTCTCTCTCTCTCTCTCTCTCTCTCTCTCACACACACGTTCCTTTCTATCTCAATGGATGCATTCAGCGCGCTATCAGCGCTATTTGTATGTATAATATGTACTATCCTTGTTTCACGTCTAATGGATGATGAAGATATAATAACACAAATAGCGTGAATAGCGTCTCCTCGAATCACCCGAATGAAGTCAACGTAGTTCACTTTTAATCTAGATTCAACTATTTTCTTCTAGTTCTAAGAATTATACCTTTTCTACTAATGTAAATTAACTTTAATCTTAATTCAATTTACTCTTTTTCTAATCTGAAACTAGAAAAAGACAAAGAATTAGTTGAACCGAAATTAAAATTAAACTACGTTGATAGATGGTACATAAATGTTTAAGAAATTTTTCGGCACTGTGAAAGTGCTAATTTTCAGTTTTATAACATTGGGATATTTTAAAACTTATTGTATGAATGTTTTAACCTTTTTCAACTTTTATTCAAGAATATAATTATGTGAAAATATAAAAGATATATAAACAGTAAAACAATTATGAACAAAAAATCAATTTGAATTAACTTTAGTTGATGTTCACGATAATTAACACATAATATTTGATAAATTTTAAAGATTTAAAGGCTATAAAGGCTCTATAGTATATTTTATTCTAAATACATACATCTTTTCTATTATACGGTCAACTTTGAAAGTTGATATTTTACATCAGATTGTTCAATGCGAAAAAAACAGAAGGCCGCACTTGTTAGGGATTTATAGAATTTAGAAGAGTTGAGAGTATCTAATATATAAAGATAAATATACATATACACCAAAATAGAGGATATACATCTTATCTTAAAATATACATATATATAAAAAATCCATTCACTGTAATTGAAATACGTAAAAATGGAATAAAAATGTGCCACATTGACATTATCTAATTCCTATTCGCTATACATATAAAAATAAATATTGAATAATCACTTGAAATACAACAAAAGTGAAATGGCACTATGAAGAGTAAAAGTGTCCTCTAATTCACATGTAGTGAATAAGATTGCATTTATATCGAGCTTTTTTCCTTTAAAAGTCTCACTGTGACTTCTCTTTCAGCAATTAACCAATCAGTTTGAGAAAAAGAAGGATCTCGATACATGCACAATTCCTCACTACACCAGAACAGGACAGCAGTTTTACTGTCGATTGTACATATACAATATGCGCGTGTACTCTAAAATCATTTATTTCACAATCTCCTTCAAACCAGTCGATTTCGCACTTACTTCCCACAGATGGAGTGCTACTTCTGGGTCTAGATCTTTTTTAGAGACGTAAAGTTTACAATCGCGATACAGATGTCCACTTTCCTCAGACAATGACGGTTCTGTTGCACAATGCAATACCGTTTGCGCACCCTGTAAATATTAATTTGTAATAGAAAATAATAATCCATACAGCATGAAATATTTCCAAAATATTTCATTGCAAGATTTGAAATATTTCAGAAATTTTCCGTAAAACATTTCTAAAATGTAAATATAATTGGGAAATCAGTTTTTTAAAGTATTCTTTTTCTTACAATATTTCTAAAACATTTTTGCGAAATGTTTTAATGCAATATTTTTAAATGTTTTATAAACGTTTATGAAATATTTTATTGAAATACTTCAAAAAATGATTTACATAGATATTTCATGCTGTGTGGGAAAAGTCCTACTTTTTCTAAAGGTGGATCACATGTTGATTTGTATATTTACCTGATTTGCAGTGCGTAGAAACATAAGAGCAACAGGCGAGAAAATGATATAATGAAACCAGCTTCTTTTCACGTTTCTGAATAAACCAGTATAAGTAAATCCAGGACACACCATGTAAACATTAACACCAGTATTTTCTGTTCGTTTTGCTAGCTCAGCGGCAAAGTATGCATTTGCAAGCTTTGAGTTACAATAACCAGGATTCATTCTGCTTTTTACCGGTAATCCTTTCTCACCATTCAAGTTTGAAAAATCTATTACTCCAGATTCCAAAAGCTTGGATGTCACTACCACTATTCTGTATGAAAAGTTTTATTTCAACATCATTTTGTCACTTTAAAACATTACTTTATACTAACCTGCTAGGAGCGCTTTCTTTCAGACGATCCAAAAGTAAATTGGTAAGCAAAAAGTGACCCAAATGATTTACTCCAAAATGGATCTCAAATCCATCTTTCGTCAAAGCGTGATCTTTCAGAGGTGCGTATACTCCGGCATTATTGATCAACACATGAATTTGGGAAAATTTCTTCAGTACCTCATTGGCAAATTTTTTAATCGATGAGAAAGATGCAAGATCCAACTCCATAGGAATCTGTATAGGGATAATTCATATATACACTAAGTTAGAAAGTAGAACTCAAGTAAAACAAGTTATTATGATATCAAAATAATGACTCCAAAATGATCATTAAGTCATTTTTCAATCTCTGGTTCATTTTAATGTTATTTTGACATTATTATGACTTGTTGGTCTGCTTGGGTAAGACAGATAAAAAGTAATATAGAGATAAAATTGCATAATTTGATATGTAAAGATTACTGCGGTCCAATTTTATTAAAGAAAGATTATATGCTCACCAATTCGCCAGTAGATATTTTGCTGCGTATCTCTGCTATGGCATTCTTCGCACTTTGTACATCCCTGCAGGCCATGATGATTGTGGCTTTTCGCTTGGCCAATTCCTTCGCTGTCTCCTTGCCGATGCCGGAGTTGGCGCCGGTCACAAGGAATACCTGGTCTTGTAGATTGCTGGTGCTCTTGCATTTTCCCCAAGTGCGCTCTCGGCATTTGCGTAGCAAGCCGATGAGCAAGACCATTGGAAGTATGAAATAACACCACGAAGATACCATATTGACGCCAGGTGACTTTTAACCTCGCGGCATGAGACTGTTTTGTTCCAAGTGTAACACGTGCGTGTACACTAATTCAGTTACAGAAAACAAACGTACGTTGATCGTGATTGATCGCGACGACTGGCTCAAATGTTGCTAATGCATACTAACATTAAGCGTGACACAATATTATGCGCTTTCACGTTCGGTCCAATCGAATGGAGCTTCTAACTTGTCACGTGCAACAGCATGACAGCAATTAAACGCAAAGAGCATCAGTCCAAAGACCAAATCTCAAGCACTTCGAGCGATTTCACATCTCGGACAATCTCGAACAAAATAATTACTGCAACATCACAAGTGCCGCCGCAAACTCCTACGCGGAACTTTATTTACAATCATAACGCGCAAGCGCTGCAACGCAAATACTCCAGCATACGCAAATTTTCACGAGCCCTTGAATATCCCTTTCAATTTTCAATGAGAATTCTTAAAACTTATTCATCTCAACTAGCGTACTGTTTTTCATCATGCCTCGCATCATACTGTTTCCGCGATATATCAATAAAATATTATTTACTATTCTATAAAATATACAGGGTGTCCCGCAACTTTTTGCCAAGCGTTTTTGTGTATAAATAGAGCGGACTAAACTGAGTCGAAAAGTCCTCTATCATTTTGCAATTTTTGCAATAGTTAATAAGATATTAATTACTAAAAATCGCTGAATATTGGTTTTCAATAATTTTTTACTCAAATATCAACTTTACAGAAAAACAGCAAAAGACAAAAGTTGCTTATTTTCTTCTCATAAAGTTCTGAGAATTTTTTCAGAATTTTTTAATGACGTATTTTCTCATGTTGATAAAAATAATTGCCTAATAAGAAAATGCAGTATTAAAAAGTTGATAAAAAATTCTGAAAAAAATTCTTAGAGCTCTATAAGAAGAAAATAAATAATTTTTGTCTCTTGCTGTTTTACTGTAAAGTTGATAGTATTTGAGCAAAAATTATTAAAGACCAATATTCGGTAATATTTATAGTAATTGATATCTCGTTAAACATTGTGAAAATTGCAAAATGATAGAGGACTTTTCGAGTCCGCTCTATTTACACAAAAACACTTAGCAAAAAATTTGTATATACAGGGGATACTCTGTATATTCGATAAAATATTTCAATTTCAAGTTTACTTGTAACTTCCAACATATCGATATTCGAGAATTTTTAATAACTATAAAATAATGTCGATAACAATCTGTTCGCGTTGAAATTCTGAAAAATATTATTACACTTAAAAAATAATAAACGACATATTAATTTGGGCTTTGAAGAGAAAAAATAGCGAAGATACTGAATGCAAAATATATAAGTAATGTAAATAGACTTATATAATTATTTTGTTTTTCACTAGAATAGAAGTGAAGAAATAAAGGAGGAAAGCTAGGTTGCCTTAATTGCTTTGTTAAGTTAAAAAGTAGCTAAGTAATATTGTATAAAGCAGAAGTTCTTAGATCTGTTCTTTTTAGTTAAAGTTCTCGCACGGTTCATCTTTCTTCCTTTTCTCTCCAGTTGAACAGAAAACGAGAAAAGATGAACTGTGCAAGAAGTTTAGTTCACAAAGAACAGAACTTTTTAGAACTCGTTAGAAATGCAATAAAGATTATTAAATATATAACAGGTATATACCTACATATTAACATCATTAATGAAGTGCTATTGAAGATAATGCAATTTAAAATAAAATTGAATTATATAATATTTCATATTTCAGTTAAATCGAATTTTCTTACTCCGTGTATTGTAGACGGGCCTTAATGGAAACATAGTGTTTAAGTACGAATTTAATTTATTTAGCGTATTGAATGCAATTAAATATTAATTATTTTGAAAATGTATTTTTATAATTGTATTCTGCAACATATACACTCACCCTATTCTTCACTTATTTTCAATTACACTTTTTTGTCAATTTTATAAAATATAAGTGAAAAATTATAAAAATTAATAAAACTAAATTGTTGCTTTATATATAGTATTCAAATTAAAAAAGCATAAATCTACGGATCAATTAATATATACACATTATATGTATAAATAAATTATTTATATTTTTAAAATAAATTTTAATGATAATGTTGCAATTACTTAAAATATGTTAAGGCACGCGATACCATATTCTTCCACATACAAATCGACATAATTATTACAGAGATGGAATATTTATATATATATATATATATTCTTATGTAATAAATACAATTTCTCATTCCTTTTAAATTCATATACTGCATGTGTGTAGAGTCATATGAATGCTTTCGTAACATTGGTTCGAAGGAATTAATAAGCTTTGTGTAGGTATACATTAGCTCTCAACTTATAAAGTATATTCTCTTTTGCGGTTCTCCATAAAAAAATATTTCTCATTCATAGTTACGGCCATCTATCATCACAATCTGATACATTAGTGTTAGAAAGATTCTCAAGTTTATGATAAATTGAATTTATATTTTATTATGAATAGAGTGTTTTTTCCATCCATTCTTCCAAGGTGAACGTAGCTGTTTGGGTTTTATCTGGATCTCTCTCTCTAAAGATATCTATAACATCGTAATAACTGGTTTTATCTTATGTTTATATTAATGTTATTAATAATATATATATATATATATGAAATCAATATATAATTAATTTGTAAATATTGATATACACACATTAACGAAACGTGTTAACATACAAGGTCTGTCCCAAAAGTATCCGACCTTTGCCTATATCATGAGAAAGAGCTATTCCGTGATATGAACAATGTCGCCTTCAAAGTAGTTTCCTTCTGAAGCAATGACTTTCTGCAAACGATGAACTCACTTGCAAAAGCAGTCCTGGAAGTCGTGTTTTGTGATAGTCAACAGCTCCCTCGTCGCATTTTGCTTTATTTCCTCAACATCGTCAAATCTTTTGTCCTTTATCGGATGTTTCAACTTAAGAAATAACCAAAAGTCACACGGGACTGTACGGAGGTTGACGAAGTTGAGCAATACCATGTTTAGTCAAAAACTTCTGAATCAGGTGAGATGAATGAATGTTATTGTGGTGCAGCAACCAGTTCCCATTTTTCCACAAATGCGGACGTTTCCTCCTCACTACGTCACGCAATTGTTTAAGAACTTTCAAATAATACTCTTTATTTATTGTACGACCTTATAAAGCATATTCGTGGTGTACAACACTTTCTTGGTCGAAGAAAACAGTGAGCATTGCCTTCACGTTGCTCCGACTTTGACGCGCTTTCTTGGGTCGAGACTCTTCTCTCGGCACCCATTGCGAAGATTGTGCTTGTGTTTCAGGGTCGTAGCCATAAACCCATGTTTCATCGCCAGTAATAATCTTTTTAAGCATCAGGATCTTTGTTGATGGATTCCAGAATGTTTTCGGCAATTTCAACTCGAGAATTCTTTTGATCTTCCGTAAGCACTCGTAGAACGAATTTTGCAATCACTTATCAGAGCAACTCAGATCTTTAGTAAATATTCGAAAAACAATAGTTTTTGGAATCCCAAGGTCCTCTTCTAACTCTCACACAGTCAAACGACGATTTTTGTTGATTGTGGGTTGCACACGTTCCACGTGTTTTTGACGTTGAAGGTCTGCCGGAACGAGGATCACTGTCCACTGAGACACGGCCAGCTTTGAATCGTCTAAACCATTCTTTTATTTATGTGTCACTCATAGAGTCATTATCATAAACTTGACGGATCATGCCGATTGTCTTGGAACATGTGTAGCCAAGTTTTTGGCAAATACAATTTAATACAAATTCTTTGCTCGACTCGTTCAGTCATTGTGAAATGCGACGCTTGGAGTTTTCGACGGTCACACAACGTACCGTTGCCAACTGAACAGCTGTTGAGTCGTGCCGCTTGGTGGGGGTACTTTTAAAGGTCCATCTTAAATACTGAATACCTGTTTTCCACAATAGGATAAAGATATACGCAGAAGATACTTTTGGGATAGACCTCGTATTTTAAAAGGTAATATATATTTTAATAGTTAATATATATAAATGATATATAGAAATTATTAGATAAATGCAAGTTTCACTTACCAATCATTGTTTTAAGTCTGACCGCGCACATTATGTAATCATCGAAAGTAATTTTGCCGTCTTTAGTACCATAACGATGAACCAATATATTAAGAATATGATTGTTTAAACGGTATCCCGCGCTATTTAACGCTTGTCTTAATTCAAATGCATTTAAATATCCCGATTCGTCTCTGTCGTACAATTTAAAAACAGCCTGAAATATTTATAATACCGTAAAAAATTAGGCATACAAATATCTTACAAGATAAAAAACCAAATTAAAAGATTTCGCATTTACCTTCCATTTTCTAATGTCATTCCACAACGTTTTAAATTCTTCAAAACCAAGTTTGCCGGAGTGATCTGCATCTAACATAGCAACCATACTGCGACATACATCTTTACTGAAACCTCTGTCGTGAGTCTCTGCAATTTAAGAGAAAAATTCATTTTGCCTGTTGTAATCTTCATGTATGTAAGAGATAATATCTGACATAAAAATTTTCAAATACTTACAAAAATATTCACATAAAATTAAAATGAAAACGTAAGAGTATTATCTTACAGTTTTTCAAAGGTATTAAAACAGTAATGTTTTCAATTATACGATAAAGATGACAAATTCAACGATTATGGTACAGCTACATTGCGAACTTTACACGTGTGCCGACGAATTTAAGCAATTCGTTAATATTTCATTCTCTGTTAATTGAAAAAGCATGCGGTAGGTATTTTTCATCGAAAAGTTCTGTCCTACCTTGTGGGAGACATAAAGTGTCAACCTGCTAACATCATTTTGACATTCACTATCAGTTCACCATACGAATGCTGATGAAAGCGCGTTTCGTGTGTTAACATAAGGATAAATAATCAAACAAGTGGAACATAATCATCACGGCGTAACACAATTGGTAAAACAATCCTGTGATAGGAGATGTATTTGTCTTACCTACAGGCTTATTGTACTGTTCATTATTACAAACAATGCCGCACAGCAGTGAGATGAGAGTGTCGACAAGCGAACCATTTCCTTCAGTTTCGGGAACATGTGCCTCGCTACGATGCGCCAATTGTGGTAACTCTACCCGTAACATACAGCTACATGTTAGCTTCGAGTTTTACATACGTACACTTGGGCCATAAGAATCCGTAACATTCACGTCTTGCCTTAAATTACAATCTACATTTCTCTAACTTTTATATAGTCTCTAATAATCTAGTTGCTTCAAGAATTAAATATTTTTAACAGAAGCTTATATATCACTTATATAATATATGTATACTTTATACTTGTTTATTAAAAGATT